AAAAAAAAAACGAAAACCAAACTGAAAAATCGGTTACTGGTTCGGTTATGGTTAACCTTTTAAAAAAACCGACGGTTAACCAAATTGACCGGTATATATACACTAATATTATATATATATATATATATAACCGACCGGTTCGGTTTTGGTTAACCTTTTAAAAAAACCGACGGTTAACCAAATTGACCGGTATATATACACTAATATTATATATATATATATATATATATATATATATATATATATACACATTTATTTTTATACTTTTTAAAATCGAATACCCCTTTTCTTCTCTTCGATTGTCATGCTAATAAGTAGATTCCAATCTGATGATTAAAATTTCTTCCTCACGTGACAGCATCCGTCCCTTCGTCTTTGGCTCTTTGCCCAAAAATTGTTACTTTACAAAAGCCTCCCACTTCTGACTTCTACATCTCTGACTCTTTGAGGTTGTTTCAATGACTTCACTTCTCAGCTCCCAAAGAAAATGCAGAGCAGTGCAATTGCTCTCTCTCCTTCCACTCCATTTCTCAAAGCCAGAAAACCTATTAATCAAAACCCTACCACTAGATTCACTCCTCTTGTGCTCTCTTCTTCATCTCCAAGTTCACTCGATCTCACCTCTGGCCATGGAGCTTCTTCCTTCTCTAGATTTTCGCAATTCTGTTCTTCATCACGTTTCAGTAGATGGATTTCTACTCCATCTCTCATTTCCGATCAAGCTACTAAGGATATTAGCATTAAGGCAACCTCGGTTCCTTGAGAACACGAAATCCAACTGTATGATCCAAACTTTACTTCTCGGAACTCTATTCAGCCTATGGTACCTTTTCAATGTCTACTTCAGCATCTACAACAAGCAAGTGCATATTTCTCTCAATCTATGTCTTCCTTTTTCTTTTTTGTTGTTGTAAATGTTAGCTCCACGTTGTTTCTTTCCATCTGAATGTAATAAATATGAGGTTTTTCGATTTGTTTTAGTTCATTCTTTTATCCATTTCTATTTTTGTACCATATCGCAATTTTCTTTCTATTTTAATTCACTATGTATCTCATCCAATGTTTTTTTATTTTTTCCTTATTCATTTTCTTCTGTCGTATCTTACAAATGTCAGCTCTGCTCTGTGCGCCTCACACTAGCTCGACCAAACCCTAGTTGGGTTAGATCAACTAGTATAACAAGAAGTTTTTTTTCCCTTTTTTTTTATTTTGAGTGCATAAAAAAACCAAAAAACCAAACCGCGGTAAATCGGTTCGGATATTAAAAAACCGATCAGATCGATTCGATTCAAAAAACCCAGAACCGAACCGTGAGCACCCCTACTAGGTATTACTTACCTGGGTAAGTGGTTAAATTAACTTTCGTATCTAGGGGAAAGTTGCCAATACTTTGGATGCATGGGACAAAAATGCCCCTTTTAATAATGACACTTTTATGGCTAAAATGATTATTGCCTTATTTACATGGAAAATAAAAGAACATGGGTAAATGCAGTTACCCAAGTAAGTTTATTTACCCAAGTAAGTGACTTACCAAAAAGTGAACGGGGCTTTGACTGGACACATGTCCTCCGACCGGGTAGGAGCCAATATTTCTTCCCTAGATTTTAATGGCTTCACTTTGTGTGGTGATATGACAATGCCTGGGTAGATGGCAATGTGGCAAGTAGAGGTGTAAATCGGGCTATGCCACCTACGGCCTGGCATGATTTTGAGCCAGCCCTGACGATTTGTACGGGTTGTGTCAGGCTTGGAGTTTTAGGTCTGCGGGCAGGGCTAGCACGGCCCGCACTATCGTGCCATGCTGCCCATGGCACGACCTATATATATTTATATATATAATATATAGTATATTATATATTAATAAAATAAATAATTTTTTCAATTTTATTTAGTTATTGTATATATATGCAATTGTATACATCAGAATTCATATAAAATTAAAATTTTAAGTTTTTTTCAAATTTTTAAATAAATAGCTTTGGCCTGGTCCCCGGCTTGGAACGGGTCCACATGGGCTCGGGTTGTGGGTTGTGCCGGGCCGGCCCCCCAAAATATCCCAAGGGTGGGATGGATGGCCTGTAGGCTGCACACAGGTTGTTCCATACTAGCCAAGCATGGCCCATTTTAAACCTCTAATGGCGGGTTTAGGGAGGGTTTTGTAAATTCTAGACTCTACCAACCTTCCTAGACCTCCCAACCCATACTCTCCCCAAAACTCGTAGCAAGTTGGATTTTCAAAATCCAAACTTTCCCCACATATGAAAATACAAAAGCCTCCTTGACCATGTCCTCCTCACATTTGAGAGTGGGTAGGTTGGGTATAGAACCCACATAGGAATGGCAACAGGGCGAGGCACCCCCTCCCCATCCCCGCCCCGAAGTCACGATACCTTGCCCCGTACCCGCCCCATCCCTGGTGGCAGGGCGGTTTTGGAGCGCAGGGAATTCCCGAATTTTCTCTGCTCCAAGACAATTACTTAAAAATTATCTATTTTATGGACAATTTATACATAGGATATAGGAATTTGGGGGTATTTTAGAATTGAATTATAATACTTTAGGGCTAATTCAAAAATAAAATTATGGGATCCTAGGATTTTAAAAATTTAGGGAAAAGTTAGAGATGTTTTAAATATCAATATTAAACCTAGAGATATTTTACTAATTTACCTTCGGGTTCGGGGCGAGTTCGGAGAATTATATACAAAACCCATCCCCGCCCTGTCCTTGTTTAGGGTCGGGGAAAACCCACCCCGTTTGGGGTAGGGTGGGACAGGGCCCCGGTTTTACGGGGGAAATTGCCATCCCTAAACCCACATCTATTTTCTTATTATTTTTCTATTATATATAAACAATAAACAAGTAAAAGAATATCAACAATCATCACAATTTCTAATTCTTTGATTAAAACATATAAAATTACCTAAATTATTAATTATCTTTTACATAAATTCAAAATATTGTTAAATTCAACACTTAATTACATAATTTAAAATACTTATAAAAAATACATAAATTCACATGCTTTTTCGACAATCTATATTTACCTATCCCTGGAGACATTGTAAAATCTCAAAACCTATACCCGGTCCAAAATCTATTTTTCAAATAGTAGGAAATTGTCATCGCTATGCCTACAACAGAACCTATGGCTGTTGCACTCACGATGTTATTGAAGAGCTGGTCTACAGGTTCTCTGGTGTCTATAGGTTTTATCCTTTTTTTTTTCCGTTGGTCTAACTGTATGATTCGTCTGATTAACACCATATTAGTACAGATAAAAAGAAGATTATTTTACTACTAATAATTTAATTGTAGAAACTAATTAAAGCTTTTTTTCCTTAAGTCTTAACGTTACCAATCTACCAGCAACAATTAAGCAATGCTTAGATATATCACAGCTTCATGCCACCTATGTTCGAAATGTAATTTCAATTTTGTGATATAATTATTCATTTAAGCTCTATTAATTTGCAATACAATTTCATTTGCACCAGTACATATGCCTCTTGAGCCTATTTGATATGAATGACACTTTGCTTTTTTTTTTTTTTTATTTAGCTCTAACCACGGTCTGATAATGTAACGTCATTGGTCAAATATATAATATCTCAGTCAACCAAATGGTGTTAATTGTTAAAGCAATGAACGAACCCAATAAACCAAAAAAGTTTGAGTTTCGCAGTAGCAACTAGCAACTAGCAAGGACATTCTTTCTTCCACGACTATGATGAATTTGTGGGCTTTATTTTGTTGGCTTTGATTGCGGTTGTGTTGTGGTGGATCCTGATTCTTTGAGAAGCAAGGATCTTCGCAGAAGATGCGCTTACGGTATTGAAACCCGTGGATTAACCACTTTTCGAGAAGGGTCGAAAACCGTTCTTATTTTTCAAAACCGATTCAACGCGGCAGGACTTACTTGAAGTGTAGCTTATCACCACATGATTGGAACAATAAGCGGGCCCACAGAGTTACTCGTTCCATTTCCACTACTTTCGGAGGCCGCCCACCATCACGGTGATGCCCATCTTTACTGTAAACCGCCCCAAAACCCGCGACCTTAAGACCACCGGATCTTTAGAGTCTGAGGGACAAGTGGTTCTGGGCTCCTGTCTCCAGCGGTGTTTTATCTCCAACCTATTAACAAAAAACGAAAAAGGCGTCCCGATACAATGTTTGCTTTTCTGCTCATAGAAAATGGAAAATCTCCGACCCATTAACCAAAATCCCATGTTTCCATGAAGCAGAAAATTATTACCAATAAAAAAACGTTAATCAATAATAAAGTACGAAAAGTATCTGTATCTGACCGCCGAAGAAAATATCTCAGGCTTCTTTCAAAGTATCTTAGACCTTCTCACAAGGCTACTGTACCCGCCACAAGCTCACCGATTGGAATCTGAATTTCCCGACCACCGGGCCATCAATGATGAAATAAATCAAACGTACATCAATAGCCTTGTCTCATCGTCTGGACTCTGGATCCATAGTAGAGTCCATATTCACAAGGGTTGGACTCTGGACCCACTGTAGAATCCATATTCACAAGGGCCCGGGAGAATTATTGATCAGCCCAGCTCAGAACTTTTTAACTCTACCGTACAGGAGATGAATTCTGACCGTGAATAAATGTTAAATCTACGAACAGGATACAGTTTATGGGAGAGCTATTAAGCTATAATTTTAGAATTTAATTCTGAAACGACCTGACAGACATCCCACTGTGCATTGGATATGCTCCTCACACAGGATTGCCTCACAACAACTTAACAGGCTCATCTCACCGTGCATTGGAAACATCTTCCGTACCAGAAGTGAGTGCTAAACGTGGCCTTCGTTTACTAAAAACACGTGGTTTTCTTGCATACGTGGTAAACCACGGAAGCAGCAAAGGACTGGTGTGACATTCGTCAAATGAGTTAGACCCCACCGCCCCTGGTTTCACGAACCGCTTCAAAGTTTATAGGTTCATACATGATACAACCTATAAATAAACCTCCTCGTTCACTCGCTCATCTGTCTTCAGTGACAGATTTCACCTACACATCCTCGATCTCTAGCAAAATCTCTCTCTCTTTCACCCTCAAAAAACCTTCTCCACAACCCTACAAGTGTACGATAAATAAATCCGAGTCCTTTGTACTTTGTCTGTGTTGGTTCCATGGACACTAAGATCGGAAACATCGACGCTGGCAAGCCGGCCTGTAACGACGTAGGCTCCATCCCTCAGAACGGCGCGGTCTCGGTTGTCCAAAACTCGGCCACCCCTGCCGTGGTTTCTTCTTCCGATGCAACACTTGGCCGTCATCTCGCTCGTAGACTCGCCCAGATCGGTGTCACCGATGTCTTCTCTGTCCCCGGCGACTTCAACCTTACCCTTCTCGACCATCTCATCGCCGAGCCTGCTCTCAAAGTCATAGGTTGTTGCAACGAGCTCAATGCTGGATACGCTGCAGACGGTTACGCCAGGTCCCGCGGCGTCGGGGCTTGTGTTGTTACCTTCTCGGTTGGTGGCCTTAGCGTTCTTAATGCCATAGCCGGTGCCTGCAGTGAGAACCTCCCCATTATTTGCATAGTCGGTGGCCCCAATTCCAATGACTACGGCACCAACAGGATTCTTCACCACACCATCGGATTGCCCGATTTTAGTCAAGAACTTCGATGCTTCCAGACTATTACCTGCTACCAGGTATACTTATTTCTCCTCGTTCCGATCGGTTTATTAAATTTCTGTAATCTTTAAATTGGTTTATAGTAAAATTAGTCATTATGGTGTGTCTTTGCTGCATCTAGGCGGTGGTGAATAACCTGGAAGATGCTCATGAGTTGATTGATACGGCGATTTCAACGGCTTTGAAAGAAAGCAAGCCGGTCTATATTAGTGTGAGCTGTAATTTGGCGGGAATCCCTCATCCTACATTTAGCGGGGTGCCTGTCCCATTCTCCCTGTCACCCAAGTAATATGATGATCTTTTTAAAATTTTTTTATGTTCTCTCTTCGTGATCTATATGTCATTGATAGAAGAGGAATCTGATATCTATTTCTCTTGGTTTTGTTTTGATTCAGGTTAAGTAATCAAATGGGTCTAGAAGCAGCGGTGGAGGCCGCGGTGGAGTTCCTGGACAAGGCAGTGAAGCCCGTCATGGTGGGTGGGCCGAAACTCCGGGTGGCTAAGGCTTCTAAGGCCTTTGTCGAGCTTGCCGATGCCTCTGGTTATGCCGTTGCGGTGATGCCATCGGCAAAGGGGTTGGTGCCAGAGCACCATCCTCATTTTATTGGTACTTATTGGGGTGCCGTGAGCACTGCTTTCTGTGCAGAGATTGTGGAATCCGCTGATGCTTACATATTTGCGGGACCCATTTTCAACGACTATAGTTCGGTCGGATACTCTCTACTCCTCAAGAAGGAGAAAGCGATCATTGTTCAGCCTGACCGGGTTGTTATTGCCAATGGGCCTGCTTTTGGGTGTATTCTGATGAAAGACTTCCTCCGGGGGCTAGCAAAGAGGATTAAACGCAACACAACAGCATACGAGAACTATTATCGAATCTTTGTGCCGGATGGACAGCCCCCCCAAAGTAAGCCCAAGGAGCCCCTGAGGGTTAACGTCATGTTCAAGCACATACAGGCGATGGTATCAAGCCACACTGCCGTTATTGCCGATACAGGGGACTCCTGGTTCAACTGCCAGAAGCTAAAGTTGCCAGAGGGTTGCGGGTAAGCAAGAGAAAAGGCAAGCTTTGGTTTTGTGTGGCCCTCTGGCCTATGCATTTGATAAGCATCTCTAACAATAATAATATATTGCAGGTATGAGTTCCAGATGCAATATGGATCAATTGGATGGTCGGTAGGAGCAACTCTTGGTTATGCCCAGGCTGTGCCCAACAAGCGAGTACTTGCTTTTATTGGTGATGGAAGCTTCCAGGTAACTAATAGTCTCTGTTCACAATTTTACTGTTAAAGAAGTAATTCATAAACCCTTTACAGAGAACTCATATTTGAAGGATTTTGATGGGCAGATGACAGCACAAGAGGTGTCGACAATGTTGCGTTGTAATCAGAAAAGCATCATCTTCCTTATTAACAACGGGGGATACACCATCGAGGTGGAGATCCACGATGGTCCTTACAATGTTATCAAGAACTGGGACTACACTGGATTCGTTGATTCAATCCACAATGGAGAAGGAAAGTGCTGGACAACCAAGGTAGGATTGGAAACATGGAGAAGGAAATTGTTTTAATTTTGGTTAAAACAGGGGAAATTGGTTGTGAGTTTTGAGACGACCCTGTGTAATGTAATTAAATGTGGTGATGCAGGTCCGATGTGAAGAGGAGCTCGTAGAAGCGATTAAGTTGGCGACGGGAGATAAGAAGGATTGCTTGTGCTTCATAGAGGTAATCGTTCACAAAGATGACACAAGCAAAGAGCTGCTCGAATGGGGATCAAGGGTCTGTGCTGCCAATAGTCGTCCACCCAACCCTCAGTAAAAGCCGTCGATCTAGCCGGCTGATTTAGATGGAAATGGTTGGGAATATTTAATTCGGTTTTGGTATATGATTAATTGATTATATGTTGTAGTTTTTAGTCTTCCCTGTTCTCCTTTCAACTGTTGGTATAATGAGCGAGGTTGTACTTATATAGTTACATTCATGAAAATGAGGCTCCATTCCATTTCTCTGTTCTCTCCTTTCAATTATTGGTCTAATGAGCAAAACGAAGTTTCATTTTGTGATTGAGGCTCTCTGTTCCTTACCCGTTTTAAATTGGGTTGAAGTTTGTGAGCTTCAATTTTCGGTTGTCTCATGCTTAGAGAAGTATTCGTTCTTGCCCTGTCTCAGTTGCCCTCTGGCTGAATACGTTGCCCGGGATGTGGTCTAGTCTCTATGAAGTTCATAGTTGGAAAAATACAGACCCATGTCAGATTAATGGAATACTCTACAGTATGAATTGTTTTCTTCCCTGTGAACCTAAGGAAATTCGATATGTTTTTGATTGTACAATGTTCTTTCTTTCTTTTAAACCAGGCATTTCCTTTTAAAATTCTAAATTCTAGTTTCAAAAATTCAAAGATCATACAGGTGGATATTCTGATTGAGCCTGCTTAGTAGATCCAAATTTGTTTGTTTCGATTTTGAATTAAGTCTTATTTGTCAGATTTATATTGGATTTGAATGGACTTACGATAGCATTAAAAAGTTAAACTAAAAATAATTAAAATATTAATAAAGTGAATTAAAAATGAGTTTGATACTTTCTGAATTTGGATCATTTCAATTTCAACTGGTTGGTGGAATCAGAATGGGTCATTCTATAACTATTTGAATGGACGAAATTGGAATTCACTTCATCTCCCTTCCTTGGGAATGAAATTCTTGTTGATTTTAATTTTCATTTTAATCTATTCTTGTTGGTTTTAATTCTTGTCTGTTCCAATTTCCAAAGGATTTTAATTTTGGAATTCAATTTTGGTTACAACCACGAATCCAACGGGCACTCGGTAGTTGTAAACTTGTAATAAGCTAGCGCATAGCCCATGGGTTTGCTCAATATGCTATTCGGCATAATAACATGCTCCTGACCTGGGTCAAAGTTGGTGAATGGGATTTTGCCTAAAAAAGAGAAAAATTCAGGTACGTAACACTTGACAGAGATTATTGACAGAGATTATTGTTATAGGTTCAGTAAATAAATGCTGATATTCAGGTACGTAACACTTGACATGACTGTTCATGCAGTCATGCTGTTTGTTCTAGAGGGCTTGTTTTTAGCAATGGACTTTATATTGCCCTGAAAGACATAATTGAAGTGATCTCCTCACATTAATTTACAACCTCCTCCTTGGATTGTTCATTCTGAGATCCTATTTGAATTCTCCTCTTCTGCGTTGCTTTCCATGTCAACTACTGGTAATAAATTGGCCCACGGGCTTGGCTCAATAAGCTATTTGGCATAATCTCACCTGGTCTATGGTCTAATGCTCCTGACTTCGTAAGGTCTTGGTATCACAAGTCTTATTGGTGTTGGTGAATGGAATTTTTCCCAATGGCTTAAAAAATTTAAAGAAAAAATCAGATACGTAACACTTATAAGAGGGTCTAATCAAATTATATTCGGTGTGTACGTCTGCGTGTGTACAACATACTCACCCACTCGTATAGTCATTAGTCAATTGAAAATATAAACATGTTCTTTTTAAAAGTTGGTTTTTGTTTTATAAGAACATCTTTATTCTGATGTAAGACAAAAAAAAAAAAGAAAAAGTAAAACTTTTATGCTGAGGAAGACCTCTATAGTAGGAGTAAACTGACGTATGAACAGCACCGAATTTCAGAGTAGAATCAGGTTGACTGAATTGAGCTGAAATTCAACACCAAATGGATATTGGCAACCACTGGTTTTATTTTTCCATGACTACATTCTAATTCTATAGACGAAAATAGATAAGAGTGTGATATTTACCCAGTTGTGAAGAAATTAAAGAAATAGTAAGCAAAAAGCGCGCATGGTTTTTCCAAGTCTAACAAACGCTTATGGTTATGGTATTCAAATCGATGGGCTGCATCACCTCCCTGTCTCAAGTGAACAGACCAGTGTTTCTACACATGGCCCACGTTACATTAAGATCCCATTTGTACGGAACATTCGTGTTCATACGTAATTGGTTACGTAGCTCGTTTTACACGAATGTCTTCACCTACTGTCAATAGGGCTAATGATATATTAATCTAGATTTCAGGAATATTTGAATCCTGGATCCCATGCTACTACCAGCGTGTTGCTAAGGTTTCCCGCTGGTAGTAGTGGAGACTTAAAAAAAATATTAATACAGCTCTAAATGTCATGCTTACGTTTCACGTGTCTATTTTAGTTCACTAATGGGGGTTTACTCTATTCTCACAACAAAGTAATATCATACAAATACCCCCTTCCGTTAGACTTTCGTTGAAGTTCGTTGTTGTAATATTTTTAATTCTCGTATTATCCTTTAATAACTATTCGAAGAAAAATATTATTTATTTTCTCCGACTTCAATATACGAACAGTAGCGGCAGTAATCTCCTCTAATTCTTTTATAATTTAAACAGACAAAAATAGTAAAGAGAGAAACAAAAAACAGAAGTACGGATACATTCCATGCAGAATTCTAAATTTCAGCCGCTACTAATACTAGCCTTAATCCACATCCTGCGGTGAATTTGACATCAATTCACCGTCAGGATGCATTCCCCCTGTACTATGGGACTATAAAATTCTGATCTGCGCTGATCTATCATTCTCCCCAAAGAAATTCCAACACAGGAGAGGGGTCGCATCAGTTGAAGGTTTTTCAGGGGTTTTGTATTTGCTTTTTGACACACTCTGTGAGCTTAAGCTTTAACCGAAGCTCACAGAGAAACGCTGACCCAAGTTTTATCGGCAACTCTTCTGTGATGATATCTCAGCTTACCAGAGGTTGGTTGTAACATGAACAAAGCTACAACTTGTTGGGTGCGCATTGTACACCTGCTATGAATCTAGAACTCCCCCAACCCAACTGTCTCTCCACCTGCGATCGTTATCCCGACCAAACCGTCACTGGCTTCTGCCCCTCATGTTTATGCGAATCTTGCTTGTTTGGATCCAGCAACCCGCCAGAAGAGCAACCCCTCCTCCACTTCCACAGCCGCCTCCGCCTTCAAAGCCATCTTCAATCGCTCCAGCGTTGTTGGAGACACTAGCACCGCCACTACCAACTACAGTAACAGCATTCGGAACAAAGCCTCCTCTTCTTCCTCCTTCTTCCCCGAGCTCCGCCGAAGCAAGTCCTCCGGCCCGAGAGGCGAGGGTTTCTCCAGCGTGTTCGAGCCGCAGAGGAAATCCTGCGACGTTCGATACGGAACACTCTGGTCTCTGTTTAGCCTCGACGACGAACATAAGGCTGAGAGAAAAGAGGTCCGGGGTGACGTTGGGGCCGAAATCAGGACCTTAGGGTTTCCCAGGGTTGGAAGTCCCGTTTTCGAGTCCAGAGAAGAGGAGGAAAATGAAGAGGAAATTAAGGTTCTGGAGGATGCTGCCACCGTTTCTAGCAATTTGAACGCTGTCGTTGTTGAAGAGAGAGACGAGGAGATCGAGGAGGACGACGAAGAGGAGGAGGAGGAGGTGGTGGTGGTAGTGGAGGAAGAGAAAGTGAAGAAAATGAAGGATCACATAGATCTCGATTCGCATGGTAAGAAGCCTCCAGGGAAGCCTCCAGGGAGGGATTTAAAGGAGATTGCAGGCAGTTTTTGGTTGGCCGCCTCGATTTTTAGCAAGAAATTGCAGAAGTGGAGGAGAAAGAAGGCGATGGCGACGGTGCCTCGACTACAATGCGGGCCGAAAAGCCGTCGCGTAGGCAGTTCAGGGAGACGCAGTTGGAAATTGCAGATTACGGATGTGGACGGAGATCCTGCGATACTGATGTGAGGTTCTCCCTTGATGCTGGTCAGATGTCTTATATCTCATTGGAAGAACGTTTCCCCGGCTTCCCCCGATGCTTTCTGATGACGGAGGAACCCGGTGAGAGTGCTCCGAAGTTCAAGTTAGTATTTTCTCAAAGGCAAGATGAAAAATCAGATGGCGCAAAGTTATCACGTACTTCCTTCTTGGGGGAAGAGAGCCTTTTATAACCACTTCGCGCACTCACTCCCAATCTCCTGTCAGGTCGGGTATCATTACCTCTGCACTTTTGCCAGTTTGGGTGTCATCATCTCTGTTGGGGTAGATAACCGCCACTGCTCTCGTTGTCGGAGTCGTTTCTGTGATTGGAGGTGGCGGTGGCAGGTGGCCGTTGAAGTGCGGCTGTCAAGCGTCAGATCCTAAGTTAGTCAGGTGCGCCGCCGCCTCAGGATACGGACTCCTTTGGTGTCAGGTACAGTTGTTCAGTTTGGCGGCATGGAGACGAAGTGCTAGAGTGGTGTGTGAAGTGAAGTCTTGAGTTCGGGTAGAAGTGTGGCTCGAACTGCCCTGGGGTGGGTCAGTTCGGGTTGTTGCCCTTTGCGCTCCTCGTAAGGCTCGGGGTCAAAGGGAGAGTTCGGGCTCCTTTTGGGGAGCTCAGACCACTGGTTCCTCCTCTCGGAGCTCGCGCCTTGAGTGTACTGCCGTCCCGAGCTATTGCTTCTGCCAGGCCACCCTCGGTTGTTTTCACGTGTTGGGTGGTTAAGAGGTCGGGCCAAATCTTCCTTCATCAATTGCCCCCCACTCCTCGCGCCAAGGGGCTTGCCCTGGCGCGGGGAGTTCGCGAGGTGACGAGTGGATTTGACCCGTACTTCGAACCGGTTGACTGATAGCGCGAAGTGTGCATTAATCAAGAGATTTCCGGGTTCCTCGAGCGCCAAAAAGTCAAAAAAACGCGCCAATCCGTCTTTAAATGCTGGGAGACGTGACAGTGCGCGTTATTTCAAATTTAAAAAACGTGCCGCTGGGAGACGTGACAGCGGGCGTTATTTCAAATTTGAAAAACGCGTCACTGCTGCCTCCAATGCTGGGAGACGTGCGCCAGCGCTGCTTCAGTTTCAAAAGTTTCAAATTTGAAAAATGCGTCACTGCTACCTCCAATGCTGGGAGACGTGCGCCGGCGCTGCTTCAGTTTCAAAAGACATGCGGCCAGTCACGTCTCGGTCTTAGGAGGCGTGCGGTCAGCTTGATCGTGGGCCGTTGGATTTGCCTCGATCAGAGTCATCGGTTTTCGATCACTGTGGGTATAAATAGTGGGGG